CAGTGAAGGTAATTACAATCCACATACATTATACTGACAACAAGAATAATGCCATGTCACTGTTGGTCCCTTCAGTTCCTGTCAATGATACTAAGATAGATGTTCCTCCACAACAGTTTGACATCAGATCAACATTCCCTGAGGACTGACTGAATTGGCTGAGGTGCATTTATTTTCACTTAAAGTAACTGGTTTTATTCTGTCCTCAAATGTATGTAATGAGATATTCACTCTCCCTCACTATCTGTCATGGTGTGTTGTAATGATAAAGTTTAGATTGCAAAAAATCAATACTCCGTCAGGCAGGAATAAAATAAAACAGAGTGAACTGCAAGTACTGACCTCCATTTTGATACAGTGTTGGTTAATTGTACAGCAAATGATTCATCACTTTATTCCTCATAACACCCTTTAACTCACAGGCCAAAGGAAAGAGAACACACAACAGAATTCTGCTGCCATTTAGTCAAACCTGTGTTGGACTGATGGCCTCAAAAGAGAGGGGGATTGGGGTGTGATGGCTTAAAGTGTTTGTGACTTGTATAACTGTGCACCTTGGGGGATATCCTTTTAGAGAATAAAAACTTGACTCCAAGTCTATTCATCTTATTCTGTCATCAATGGGCAGTTTGCAGACCGTTGGTACCACACATTTCTTTGTATTTGTTCCGTTGTTTTACCTTTCATTCAAATTGCATAAAAACTGGGTTGGAATTGGCTGATTGGAGGTAATGAGTAATTGTGTCTCACTAGCCGGACACAGATAGGTGGTACCACTTTGCAATCTAAGACTTTATAAGCAGGCTTTAAAAAAAAAAACTCCACTCAATGTGTTTATCAAACTGAACCGAAACACATCAACAAGAGCTACCACCAGAGGGGATCGCAAAATACCATTTAGAAAAAGTACTTTTTCACAATCAGTCTTTTCCTATCGAGCAGCACAAACCTGGAACAATGCAACCATAGAATTAAGGAACATCGCAACTTTCAATTCATTTTCCAGTTCCGTACAACAATGGTTACTGAATACTCATATATGTCATCATCTGGAATAGTCTTGTAATTGTTAATCTAATTCCCTCTGTCTACTTTTAAATGTCTAATATTAACTAACTCTTCTATATTGAGGAGCTGTTTTTTTTATATATATATATGTTAGTTTGTTGTCTGTTTCTTTGTTTGTCTGTTCTCTTTTTTTAACATTTTTTAACATCAACCTGTTAACCAAACCAAATTTGTCAAAGACACTAACTCTTGTACATGTATATGAACCCTTGTGCTCATATTAATTAATGTGCACTGTCTCTTTTAAAAGAATAAAAGGAAAGAAAAATACTTCAGAGAATTCAAGTGTGGTGAATTGCATTTGGTCTGTCTGTGGCTGTACTGAAGAGGATAAACATGTGGGAAGTGATTTCCCTGGCATTTCACTCTCTACCATCGGCCATTATGAGAAAATGGAGAACAGAGTCCTCCCTGTTTTGTGCCAGAGAGCAATTCCCCACCAAACTTGAACACTGACCCACAATCTCAAATGCAGGGTTTTCTATTCCAGTGACTGTTTGACAGATTGACTGTTCATTGCAATTACACTTTGTGGTCTCAAAATTAATGTGGTTATTGGTTATTTAAAAAAAAAAAAAAAGGTTGGGATCTCCAGATATGAATGTGATCGTTTTTTAGCTTTTGTAAGTCTTGAGCTGGATCTCCATGAGACCACATTTCAATGAAAACACAAATCTGACACCCCTAGGGTTCAGGTCAATGTCTTCCTGAGTGGTAAAGCTTGCTTTGGAGGCTAGAGGAGACTTAAGCCGCTTTCAGACATGAACTATAGAGAATGTCTGCACAATAGAATGCTGACTCTCTCCAGAATTTGTTTTTCATATATGAAGAATACAGCAGGAGATTCTCTTATCAGACATGTCAGAGCAACACAACCATCCGGAGCATTCGGGTGAGGGGTAGTGCAGCATGCAGAGGCAGGATGGAGCAAATAAACCATGTGTGATTAAAATTCATTGACACCAGTGTTGGCCCTAATCACTAAAAACAAAAAAATGTACTTCCAGGTAGACATCTTCTTGTGTCTTCTGCGTCTTTGGCAACTCTTTTCATCCTGAGATATTCTGTATTCTTTTTTCACATTTGCGTCCATAGAGTGTTAGAAGCATCATCAACACACCCACTCGCAGTGAACCCTCTGGATTATAGCCTGGCAGGCTTACTCTGACATTATACAGAGTTTTTATTAGGGGGCTAGCAGGGGAAACTCCCAAGTATGTCCACAGCAGCTGACTTGGACATTTGTGTTCTCACTTACATCCCCCTCCTATGCATGTCTGAAAGCAGCTGTAGAAGAGGTTCTGTCAAAGTCAAGTAAATGGCTTGGCCAGCATCACTGCAAGGACTGGAAAATATTATGGTTTTGAAGATTGCTATGTTAAAGGTCAAAATAAAGAATATATGTTATATATAATATATATATGATCAAAAAAACAACAAGGCAAAGGTATTCAGTCTGTTAATAAAGTTATGGTATATCATCTTTTTCCAGTGAAAATATGTTAAAGAAAAACCTTCTAAAAGCATCTAAGTTCATTACCTGTTCATTGTCTGCTGATGCAAAATTGCCCTCTCAGAAACAAAGCTGTTTCCTAGTAAAGCAATTCCATATATAGCCCATAAAAGGGGACCCACTTACCTCTGAGTGTTTCAACAAATGCTGGCGAGTTTATTAGCTAAACCTACAGAGCTGAATTCATTCCATCCATCTCTATAGCTCAGGTAATCTCAACAAGTATGAATGAATTTGCACAAGGTTGCAAAGTAGATTGAAAAGTTTTTTTTCCCATGGCAATGAAACATTAAACACTGGTGGTGTGAGCTTGTTCAAACAAGAACTGTGGGATTGTCTATGCTTTCTCAACAAGTGTACTGCGCCTGTGTTGTATATATACACTTAATTTTGGTTCAGTGAAGTATAATATTGTAGTCACACATCAAGCACCACAACAAATAAAAAAGTTCATCATTCTGATAAGTGATATGTTGGTCAGAGCTTGTGATCTGTTGAAAATGGCCAGTAAAATGTCTCTTTTCACAATAAAAGACAAAACAAAAACCAACCCTCTGTACTCTAAAGTAAGATCCTGTGAACTCATAGGCTAACACTCAATCACCTTCTCTGTGGTCTTTGTTGTGTGTCACTGACTGAGGCCTTGTCAGAGCACCACTACCAACTGGTTTTCTATTAAAATACTGCACAAGTATATGGTTTTCGTGCATACTTGTACTAAACTCCACATTCAGAGAAAAACTGGAGAAACCTAATGTCCTATGCCAACACAAGACAACAGAATGACACATGCTCCATCATGTATATTACACATCACATCTCTGACAAAATACTGTGTGAATGGGAAACTGCAAACTCTTGTCTAATTGCTAGGTGAAGCAATAAAATAATGGGCTTTCCATTTAAAATGTTTGAGATTGAATGCTTAAAGAACAGTAAGTGAGGCGGGAGAGCACCAATTTATTCTTGAACTTTATTCAAACTTTTATTCTTCTATCTTCTTCTATATTCAATATCCCATCCCATTCGAAGGCAAAAGACTGAAAAAACAGAAGACCTTAAGATATAAGCATGATCAGAAAAGCTCACCTGACACACTGCCTAATTTATCATCATTCATTTTATACTTTGATTACAACAGCCACAATACAATACAATCCCTTAACGTATAGAATGTCATCTAAATGAATATTTCCGTTACATGTTTATGTAGTACTATGCCCAACACATTAAAAAAGCTGTAAGACCCTGCTGCCTGCAAACACTTAAGACCATTTACTGTCAACCAAGGTTAGAGAAAGCATTAAGATTGACCCTCAAATGACCTCAGATTTTGACAAGAATTCAGAATATTAAACCACCACCTCAGTCAGGCTTGGTGAACTGTAAGGTTTGATGTGTGCCAATACACCATGTTGTAATCCATGCCCATCACACATCATTCAATCCTCTCAATGTTTTATTTTTTTATAAACAAAGATTACATTCAGCAGCTCTGTGGAGAGGTGCTGCTTGACAGCTCGCCACCACTGTAACAGGCTGGATGCCAACACACCACAAAGTCTTCGCTGCTGCCGGTGCGCATGCTAGCTCTGATCAGACAATTAAAACAATAAGTCACCTTTGGCTATGACTGTGTGGCAATGACAGAATCAATGCAATCAGCTCAGGCTTCGTGGAGCATCGAGCAGGTAGTGGACTGAGGCATGGTATTGATACAAGTGAAAGGTATTCTAGTGAGGGTGGGGTAGAGGGGGCCCACCTACAGATTGACACTACTTCGGGGTTAGGAGGTGCATGGTGCCTGAAGACAGACACACACATGCTCACATACATTTACAACAGCAGCATGCTATGTTAGCTTCAGCAGGATCCGTGGCTGGAAATACTACACTTGGACCTTAAAGCTATCAGACTTAGCCGGAGTAAGAAGATAGAGGAGGCTGATACTTCTGGAAACGATGCAACTCAGAGGAAAGCATCCATCTTCTGACACACTCACTCATACACACGCAAACGTACACAATGACACGCTTAAATAGCGTATAACCAACACGCCACTATGCTCAAGAGGACTACATATAGATAAAGACAGGAGATGATTGCGTAGACACACACTGATGCGTCTGGGCTGAGAGTGAGAGGATGCAAGGCAGGAGCTAAGCTCAGCGTGACCAGCTAGCTTGTACTGCCGACCCTCTGTGCTAAAATGGTAGATCCCAGATTTCTCCCCATGCAATCTGCAACCATGGAGGCAAAACAGGAAGAAGATGAGGAAAGGAGAAGATGGATGCAGGAACAGAGGAAACATAGCCATTTCCTTTTCACCCTCTCATTCAGATGGAGCACACACACAAACATAAAAAGACACAAGCATAGACAAACACAGAGGAGGCGGGAGGATGGTGGTGGTACTTACATGAGGACTCTGTGCCGAACATGGCTGGGCCGGGAGCTGTGATGGACAGAGAGGAGGAGGAGGAGAAGGAGGAAAGAGGGGAGAGAGAAAGGGGAGGGTAAGAGAGAGAGGGAGGTTGATGAACAGGCAGCTACACAGCGGGGGTCATCAAAGCAACACAATGCAGCCAGCCGGCCGTCGCTGCCTCCCAGACGGCCAGATGCCCTATCTCCGCTCTCCGTCGTTGCTTTAAAAGCCCTCCTCCACACACACGCGCACTCAGTTAGTCCGGCCGCAAAAAAAGCAAAAAACAAGAGGCCTTGTGGAGGACAAAATCAATAAACAAACATAAAATGAACACAAACAGATATCCTTCAAGCCAAGGTGAACTGGTAAAATCCAGACATGGAGATGTGTCTGGATGTAGCTAGATATCGCATCTCTCCTCTTTATGCAGTCTATACCCTCCTTCTCATCCTCTCCTCTCTGTCACTCTCTCACTTCTCATTCCACTGTAGGATTTACTCATGAAAAGGGGAGGGAGGGGGGGTTAGAGAGAGAGAGAGAGAGAGAGAGAGGCTTTCCCATGGAGTGGAGAGAGAATGGAGGAGTGAAAAACTAAAATTCTGGTGAGGAGCTGATGCTACTGCAGCCGCTGTAAGACAATAGCTATGCAAACAGAGAGTGACGTCACAACAAGGGACTGGGGTGCAGGGTGGGGGCAGTAAAAAGGCTGACCGCCTCTACTGCTGCTAAAATAAGAGAGAGACAGACAGAGAGAGAGGGTGAAGGGGGTAAATAGGGAGAAGGAGAAAGAAACTGGAAGAAAAGGGGGAGAATGGCAGAAAGAGGTGGAAAAATAGGGAGTGCAAAAAGCAGAGCAGGAGATAGAAGGGCATAGGCAAAAAAGGGGTAAGATGGGAGACGGGAGTAGGAGGAGGTATCATAGAGGGAAAAAAATAGAAAGAGGGAGAGCAAGATGGAGATGGAGAGGAGCGGGGACAGATAAAGAGATACAGAGGGGGAGGAGGAAGGCAGCTGGAGCTGAGGGGGGCATTGGAGGAGAGGAGAGGGAAGCAGGCCAGTCAAAATGGTTTGTCTACCATTTGTTTGTCCACACACACACACACGCAGAAGCAGCGCGGGGGCAGGGGGCTGCAGTCCGTCAGTTGGACAAATTGAAACGAGTATAGAGCAAAGCACTGGAGACTGCTGCGTGTTCACCTGCTGTTTACAAAAACACACATTTTCTAATGTCACCACAACATCATCAGTAAAAGCTGCATGTTGAAGAAATGTCACATTAAATCATATCTAGTGCTTACTCTGCTACTTGTTTAGAAAGCAAAGTACATATAGAGAAACCCATAACATAAAATGGCTAAACCTTCAAATCTTTACATGCTGAAGCAAAACACATCAAATGTATGGTGTAAGTGAAAACAATTGTAAATACTGCGTGGTTCCAAACATGTGATGCACACATAATGAAAGACTTAACATTTACAGTTTCCAGAAAGGACATTTTTGGACTTACAGCCAAATCAAGTGTAGTCCACTAACACCCTCTAACATCTGGCTTATGTCTGCGATGGGAATTAACTTTGACTATCAAAATCAGATCAGTTTATCCAAGTTGAGTGTTTGTGTCAAATTTGAAGAAATGTCCTCAAAGCAGTCATATTATAAGATACTTGCTAAGGTTCTTGTGGCTATAGCTAGCCATGTAGCGACAAGATTGGAAATAAGCATATGTGCGTATTGAAAGCCCCAAATCACAGCTGTCGCTAGAAAAAAAAACAACCCTGGGCGCTGTATTCAGGACATCTGAATCCTTTCAGAGCTCTAAATTTAAATGATTCAAGTTTTTCCGGCCTCTTTCTGGATGCATGGATACACTGATGTACGAGGAGTGAACCTACTACAAGAGGTAAGTCTCATTATTGATGCATATAGTAAAACTTTAATGAAGACTGAAGTATGGAGCCTTTAAATGTAGTCAAGTGCACACAACCCAGTAACAGTGCAGTAGTGGTGCAGAGTGGGTCGGCTTTGAGCATATGAATGGGTACAGTGGTGAGTCCGTACAACAGCCTGCTAACCTAAATAGATGGGAGGTCAGCCAGACGTCCTTGTGGGCCCCGCTGTGAATGGCGTGAAGCTAGCTAGGATGTGGATTAGCTCAGCAGCTGAATAGGGGAGCGTGTACTGATGGAGGCCTCTGTTCTTTTGTGTCTCATACCCAGTCGCCTCCTCCTCCTCCTCCTTCTCTCAAGTCTTTGTGCTTCAAGCACAGGCAAAACACCCTGACACTGCTCCTGCTTTACTGCCCAAAATATCTCTAGTGGTGCCAAGTCACCAAATTGGTCGAAATTTGATTTTGGGTTTGGAAAATTCGAAATATGTTTTGGTTACTTTGCAACATGTCACGCTTTTTTTGTCTTGATGACCACTCAATGCACTTTACAGTTTTGCCAGTCACCCATTCACACACGCATTCATAGAGTACATTATTATGCAGCACTTTCTCTATCACACATCACTCACACACTGCTGACAGGGACAGAATTTGGCCCAAGGAAATTTCGGCACACGGGACGGTGGAGACTAGGGCTGAACCATTGACCTTCTAGTAAATGGACCAGTCCTAACTCCTGACACCCCATAAAAAGTGGGGCACAAAATAATCAATCACTAGATGGTAAAACTATGGCCTGCTGTATCTTAATTTGAAGTGACATTTCAGCAGCTTACAATAAGTTGTTTTTTTAGAAACTACAATTCCAGTGCCCTGCCACTCCCTCCAATCCTTATCAGAGCTCTGTAGGGACGAACAGCTCAGAAGTGGTGCCACAGTGTTGCTGTGATAACCACAGGGGCTAAGCAAGGCAGGAGTAATTACACACAGTGGTTTGCAGAACTTCAACTGTTCCCATCAACATTTTCCAACATTATTCATAATGCTTCAACATGAATTATTATTAGTTATTCTCAGACAGTATAACTTCTGAATTTGTGATTATAAAGGATAAAGAGCATATGGCAAATTTACAAATAGCTTAGCAAATCACCTGAAAAATTCAAGTACAGCTGAACCATCATTCAACTCGGATCCCAAACACAACAAATTAGCCACCAGAAGCAATAGCCAATATTTTGGAGCTTCTGCTGGAGACAACATAACACTTCCATTTACTGTACAATGTTAACAGTGTGACTAGTGACTTTCTTTTACCACACATGTTGAATGTTTCTCAAACCAAGAACAGCAAGACTTTCTGTAACTGTTTTACCTCCAGACCACATTTTGTCTAAACTCTATTAACAGCTATCTGTAAATGAAAGCGGATAAATTAAAAAGTCGATAGCCAATGCAGTCTAGTTAATGGACACACGAAATGTTTACCTGTGTGCAACCAAAGCTTGCTCAAACATGGTTGGTCAAACAAGAAACCAGAAGGCTTCTGGCCTCTGACTCTTATCCGTCACCTACAGATTCTGCACAATCATAAGCAGAATCTGTTTACAGAGATTAGACGATCACTGATGATCATAACAAACTGTAACATTTAAGTCAAATTTATGTCCTCGTCCTGGCTGAAGCTTTAATTATTCACCAGAAATTCTCACTGAAGATCCAAAGTCCAATAAATGGTATTCAGAACAGCTCTACTTGAGTCATAAACCGTAGGTCAGAACAAGAACCTGTATAGCTCCAAATTTCAAATGGAAGTTTTCACCTGATTAAATTAATTTAGTGACTGAATATACTAATTGGACATCTGTGAGTACAGATTGTGTTTCAGAGGTATGGACAGAAGACTTTCAACATCCTGCATCACTGTCACCATACTTCTCCTAGATTTTCTACAAACTGCCGCTATTCAGTTGAAGTGTGTTTGATTCATGCAACGTCCATGGTTTCACATCCTGGCACCGTGCTCTGCATACATGCTACAGCAGTGGTCGCCAACCAGTGGTTGATCTCGACAGTCTTCACTTGTCGATCCCTGTAACACTCTGGACTAACTGACTGAGCTTGCTCCGCAGATCAGCTGTGTGTCGGTTGTCTGTTGTTCACACAGGCAGTGTGCCTGCTACTGGTGGTGGTGCTGCTGGTTTATATCCTGTATTTCCTTCAATATAAGTTGGATTATGTACTAAACTAAATGTCACGACTCTACAGTATGACGTGCCCCAACGCGTCGTAAGGAAGGTGACTGCGCACAGTCAAAGCATGGACTCACCTGATTAGATTGTGATGGAGCGTTTCTATTTTAACTTGCACTTTTTCCCTCCTTACAGTAGTCTTATTTTAACCTGCGCACCTAACGGTAGTGAATCCTGGCAGCACAAGGTAGAGTTTACATCACTGAACAAGAGAAAAGACAAAACAAAGCTGTTTAGTTGTTGATATTTGTTGAGACTGTTTATATGTTTAATGTAGTTCTATATTAAGAGAAAGAAGAAAAGGGGAAACTCAAGCTACAATCCTCTCAAATTCAGCACTTTATTTTAAGGTGCCAAAAGCTCTTTATTTTGTTTTTTAAATGC